AACATCCAAAAATGTCAAAGTAATGTGCAGGCACTGCTTTTGCACTGATAAAATGAAATGTCTTCTGTACTGTATCTAAATTGCTCCATGTAAAAGTTTCTGTTTACTGTTTCACATAGGTGATATAAAACAACCCCAGTAAAACCAAGAGGTAGCTCAACTGAATGGCTAGATGAATAACTGAGTTATGTTTGTTGTGGTGGTGTGTGCACGGCATGTGCACACTTAATGTCCTGGCATTTGAAGCAGCTGTTTGTTGATTTTTATATACAGACAAAAATACTGTATATAGGCAGAAGTTGTATGTATAGATTCATTTGTATTATATGAAGGTCCCTTGTTTACTGAGTCTCTTAACACCTGCTCGCTCTCCACACAACCTTGGCCTTTACACCAAGAGAGACTTCTTTAGACATGACACACACACATGAAACCACACACCCAACACCCAACACATGCACACACTCACACTCCCCCTCCACACCTCCATTTAGTCCACTCAGCACATTCTCAGCTCCCTCCCTCCATTTTTTTACCCCCAGGGGTCTCGTCTCCAGCTTCTCCTCGGAGGTTTGATCCAGGCAGGCCTCTAGGACACTTCGCTTCCGAACACTTCCAGCACCAGTGGGGTGAGCTGCATGCTGTGCTCTGGCCGGAAGGAGAGCGAGCGATACTGCTTGGAGTGCTCCTCGTTGAGGCTGCGCAGGTCAGCCAGCTTCTGGATCATCTTGGCGTAGAGCAGCCGCCCCCCCGGGTGATGAAGCTGGATGTAGGCCTGCAGGGTCTCCGACAGGCGGTCTTGGAGGGCTTCGATCCGTGCATGATCCTGCACACCTGGGCGGTCTACAGCAGAGGAGGAGACAGTCTTGTGATATTTATGGTTCAACTAAAATGTAAAACATAATTACAGTCCCTCACACTCAATCAAGCTGCACCAAATTTCACACACTTGTTAATATCAGTCCCCTAAGTGTGCCTGATGTTTTTCATTAGATCCATGAATCATTCTCTGAGAAACTGGTGCAATGTTAAAGAAAGAAAAATTATTCCTGGATCCGCCCCCTAATCTGGACCCCCACCAACACTGAATAGGTTCTTCCCTGATCTATATCACATCCTTCCACTAAGTTTCATGGAAATCCATTCAGTTGTCTTTGTGAAATCTTAAAAACATAAAAACCAACCGACCATCAAACAAATGGACAGGTGTAGAATTGAAATGCTGCTGTAAAACCAAGGATTTCAATATCCGTGTATGTGCAATAATAATATTTATCCTAGAAAACATTCACAAAGTCTGGAAGTAACTTACATAAAACTGCATGATCTTTGTGTTTGTATTTCTACCATGTTGGTAAGGTAGTGTGCTAATTTTAGATCAGGCCAAGCACATCTATGTATTGTTAATGAGCTGCCTCATATACACAGAGGGATGCAAATATGCACTTGGTTACACATGCTTGCTCGCAGCTTGCATAACAATACATGTTTAATAGATACACTGTATTTCCTGCAAATGGATACCATGCACACAACTATGTGTTCACATAAAAGTAAATAAAATGAAACATGAAACCCCTCTGGCAGCTTATGCCTGCACCACACTGTGATTTATGTTGAGTGACAGATGGTAAGACTGCTTCATATATTATCGAACCAAAAGGTTTGAGTTGATCTTTTGCAATAAAAAACCCATAATGAAAATATTCTCCACTTGGAAAAAAAAGAAAGAAAGGCAAACGTGTTCACTCATGCACAATTCATGATGAGCCGTCCCTCCTCCACACAGTCAAATGCACAGTACCTGGAGAAAGCAAACAGATGGCCATCAGCATCACATGTTCCTCCTCTTGCAGGTTGAGCTTCTTCAGGCCCACCTGGAACTTCACCAGTGGCTCTAACAGCTCCAGAGTGTGGCCCGCTGTGGAGGAAACAACACATGGTTACTGCCTGTGCAGCATTTACAACCGGCTGCATGCTATATCGCAAGAGAAAGGCCCTCCAGGGAATGTTACCATCCCACTTACTCATTAATATTTAATTTAGCCTCATGGAATCATCTCTGGTGAGGATTTGTCTTTGAACATGTTCTCAGGTTTGTTAGGAGCTACTGGTTGGGAATTTAGTTGGGAACATTTGAATAATGACCGATTTATATCACATTTCTCACACACGATTGCTTTTATGTAGATGTGTAAATGAGAGCCAGGCGAATACTGATTGGTAAGTTTTCTTTGATTATCATTATGAGCCTCCATTTTGTCATTTTATAGCTGGTTATGAAGTGAACCATGACGCTTTCTGAGAACTGGCACAATTTGTGTTAATTCTTATTGAATAATTGACAATGGTCTTTTGCAGTTATTTAATATTTGACAGTGATGCAGTTTTGATTTGAAAAAGTTGGGGTTAACAGCAAAGATTAGCTGGGAAAATGTGTTACACTAGTATTTCCAAGTATCACTTTGATCAGTGCAGAGATGTTCTCAATAAAACACAGCTAAAATTATAACTGCACTAGCACAATCATTTACTTATGAAAGTTCCCACGTGAAGGAGCATAATAAATGTTGTTGTAAAACTTATTTATTACCACACAAGAAACAACTGTATTTGGATCATGTCTGATGTCATCGACATGTATTTTAGCATGACAGAGCTGCTTCTCCTTGTCCAGACAGTGGTTGTTTTGTGTTGCAAGCAGGTCAGGAGTGACCTTCTTTGGTTGATCCCAGAAAGAGGGGTTTCTGGTTTGAAAGGAATATGAAAGCCACATCAACTGTGGCTTCTGCAGATATGTTTTATGAAGAAATACTTGAATACGTACTCTTTGCATATGGGTGTGTACACAGGCCCACAGGCAGTAACATTATCTGTACTCCTACACTAATGATCCCGTCACCTCCTTAACGCCTGGCCACTTCCTTCGAGCGCTGATAAGAGGCATTAATGTGTAACATGAGCATCTTTTCCTCAATTATCAGTTAAGCAGAATGAGTTGACATGAATGTGCACGGCCGTAAACACCAGCATGTCTTCACAACAGCTAAACTGTACACGTGGCAGCGTTTCACACTGACCTTTGGTGACATCACTGATCTGGTATTTAAAGTCAGGTGCACCGCAGCTCCATGACATGTCTTCCAGGTTGAAGCTCTGATTTGAGCGCAGCATGATCACCTCGATGGCACTGGACTTAAGCAGGGCAATCTGGTCTTCTGCAGTCAACTCCCTGCGGGGAAAGAATTCCTCTACTATGTTGGTGTATCATAAACAAACAGCTCTTAAAATAACTAAAATAATTTTGTTTTCATTGTCAGACATGGCAGGAAAGTGATACAGCACCAGGGAAACAACAGTGAGAAGATTCAAACCTGGAACCTGCCCACTCTGCATAAATGTGTCAGTTTATCAGTTGTAGAATTCATTTCAAAGGATTGTGTTCATCAATGTTTTACCCACTACAGGTTCAAGGCCAGTCACAGACGTTGTGACTGGCCTTGTCCAAAATGTTTTTTCTGTTTGCCTCCCTGGTCGTGATGGGCTAGAGTGTATAGATCTCTCATTTGATCAACATCTGTGAAACCGTTGCCGTTTTAAGCATCTTCACTGTCACAGTTAAAATCAAGCAATGTTATGAAATGTCTTTAAATGTTGATGACGTGAAACTAGTGGATTAGCAGGAGCCATAAGCTGGAACCTGCAGATCTCCGGGGGAGGTCTATGGTGTTTTTCAGGGCTTAGCGAGCAGATCATAAGTGGAAAAACATTCCAATGGTAATCCAACCATGTCCATCACTTGCTGCGAGTGGGAATGACAGCTTTCAGGAAATACAGGCCCCAACTCGTTTTACTCTTGACTTTGGGGTGACCCCTGAGACACGGAGCTTTTGTCTCTGTCAACGCACCGAGTTACAATCACGCTGGAGGGCAACGGTTACCATGTGTGAGGAAGGAAGGTGGGGAGGCAACTATGAAAAACAGCCTTGGGGCGACAATTGAGTTAGTACTCAAGTAATGTGCTGGCTTGTATCTTCCATATGCTTTTTTTATCTGAGAGATATTGCATTCTCCTAAATATCTCAAAGACTTTTAAACTAAAGATCACATGCTATCAACATCGCCTTAAAAATTTGTGATCGTCAGATAAACAACCTGAGAGTGCAAAGCAGGTTAGTGCTCAGGACAAGAGAGGCGTCTTCCTCAAAAGGTCAGGCAATTGCCTACTAACATACTTTCAGGGCCAAATTTCAGGTAAACAACATGACCAGGGCAAATATCAAACCTTGTCCAGTGAAGGAACAAGACGACATAAATAAGAGTAATTTTCCATGTGTCAGCTATCTGCAATATTAAGTATATCAGTAATCTATGGCCTTTAGACCACAGCCATCACTGTGGCACAGTATCGACTAATCAGGCAGAAAAACAAGTTGCTGTACAAAGTCTTCAGCAGACATTTAGGTAAAGAGTAACTCTGAGACATGCAAATAAAAAATACATGAGGTCTGAAAGTTCATCGCCTACATTTGGGCAAAAAAAATATTTTGTCTGAAAACAACAGTTGAGTATTCTGAGTGCAAACAAAATAACCTGATCATAAGGAGGTTCTCTGCAAAAACAGATACAGGGAAGCAAACGTTAACCCTCTGAGTCATATGTTGGCTATGAGCAGCAGTAGACTGCTAAATGAAAACTGAAAGTCAGGAAATTAACTTTAAATGCAAACCAGTCCAGACTAAGACTGAAAACAGAGCTGACAACTTCCCATTGATGTATAGAAATGCATCGTAAGTATTTCTACTAACCAACATTTTTGCCGACTTATATAGGTATGTTGCGAAAGTAAAAGAAGACATGCTGTTTTTGGTTCAGTTATTACCAACTTATGGAGAGAGAGATTCCAAACAGAAAGACGGATACAAATATGCTTTTTAACACACATGCACACAGACACACCTAAACCCAGGGATCATCTTGGCAAATCCTATGACCTTCTGGATGCTGTAGGAGACCAGGTCAGCCAGGTGAGGCAGCATGGAGAAGCTGGAGCCCTCCTCCTCGCTGGAGTCAGGGCTGCTGCCCTGCTCCTGGTACATCATAAGCAGGTTGTTGAAGTTCACTTTGGTGTCTACTGATTCTGCAGTGAGCAGAGTGGAGACCAGGGAGGGAAAAAGATGAGATGAGAGGAGAATAGGGAAAAATGTTCATACACAAATCCCAACAAAGTCATGCTATATTTCTTCAGAAACACAGACACACAATGTGAGGAAATAACAGAGAAATCATGAACACAGAGAGAGAGGGCCAGTTGGCCAACAGGGTGATCTGAAAATACATGAGTGTCAGGTCAGTAGAAGTGAGATGAAAGCTCAGATCACAGCTCTGGCACCATGTGAAGCAGGCAGAGCGAGATTCGGTTGTTTTGAGTCAATTGTGTGTGCTGAGTGTTGGAAAGAGGCCACGTGACCGTGTCCCTCGCTGTGTTCGCTCCATTAGTGACGGATGCATTAATGAACTGATGTTTACTAGTGGTGGTGTCTAGTCAGGTGTCTGCAGGGTACAGGTTATTCACAGGATATTCTCTGGATTCTCAGTAAAGCAACATAACAGGTTATATAAGCCAATATGCAAACAGCTGAACTGGAAAAAAATAGCCGTCATAAATCAAGTATTAACCCTTGATTCACTGGAGGAAAATAGATCAGTCTGTGTTTTCTCTTGAGTGTAATGTAAAGCACCTACACTGTGTGTCTCTTACCTGGAGAGTGACTGAAGGAGTCAGAAGAGGCATCAGACAGAGAGTGGAGAGAGGCAGCTCTGCTGGCACTACGTGTCACTGGACCCTCACGCACAGGAGGCTAGACAGACCAGAAATACAGTCACTAAAATGATATATACATACATATAAATTATATATAATCTAATTGCAAGTTCATGCAATTTCATCAAATATGTGCAATATTTTTCATGTCTGTTTACATAACCTATTTATCTATTCATTCAATATCTGTAATTTCATCCAGTTGCGATCAATATCCCGAGGTCTGTTTCTCACATATTTATCTTTTTATTTTTAAACCTATATTATTACTAGTTTTTACTTTATAGCTTAGATTAAATTAATAATAACGTTCCTGAGCTGGATGCTATTTAATTATTATTACTATTTCAATTACTGTGCACTTGTCTTGGTGGTGTGAATGACAATAAAGTGAATTTCAATCTTGAAATAATAGGTGAATATGTACATTTACACAGTAAAAAAGTAACTTCATAATGTCTATTAACATGCAAAGTTTAGTGTTCATTGTGGTGATTCTGATTTAAAAACCAAACATGCAGCTTTGACAAATATCTGCTAGAGAAATGGGATTGAATTTCCCAATTTAAGTGTGGCTGTGTTTGAAATTTGTGCAGATGGAAACTAGAAAATGAATTTCATAAGATAAATGGATTGAGGGACAGCTGGATGTGAGATTTGCGGCAGAGAAGTAAAGGTGATACAGAAATACATTCTTATGTGAGGAACCCAGACAGGCCAACACATGAAGATGTACAAATTCAAATAATATCAATGATGTTAATTTGTGGGACATCTGTCAACATTTGTCTAATAAAAGTAGCACTGTCGAATCTTACTTTAGTGTCTATACATTTTTATGTTGATTTACGACAACAAAGGCTGCATTTAGACACACACCCTGAAGCGGCAGAAGTCCGAGTAGGAGTCGTCATATGTCTTGTGGTGCGCCTCTACCAGCATGGCAATGACCTGACTTTGCTCATCAGTGAGCCGGGGCCGGCGTGCCTCTCTCTCGGCTTCGCGCTGGGCCTCCTCATCCTTCCTCCGCTGAATAAGGTCCTTCTTCCTCTGCACTTCCTCGTCTGTCAGGATGACTGTGGGGGGATCATATTGAGTCAAAGAGGGAGAGAGGGTGTCAGAATTAGACAGGAAAAACAAGCAGAAGATAAAAAAAAAAGTAATAAATAATATATTTTATTTATGGGTGCCTTTCATGACAATCAAGGACACCTTACATGTAATACATGTGTACATGTATGACGATATAATACTGGTGTAGCGCGGATACTTGTTAGACTTTAAAGCTTCTCGGCACATACTTGTCTTTAACATTGTGATGACAGCTATGTCAATGTGTTGCTGGGTGGAGGGGGGGTTGTTATTCTCAGGAGGAAGAGAATGGGAGGGGACAGGTCCATATGGAGACCCCGCTGCATTGAACAAATGAACGCATTGTCTTTGTTCTGCCCTGCTCCTTGTTGTTCTAGCCAATGAATTAGCTCATAGAGTCGGAGATAGGGAGCGAAGGAGAAAACTGGGTCTCAACAACATGCTCCTGTTTTTCCAACAGCAAGCGCTGATCACGAACAGTAACTCGCAGCGCCTTTGCCACTGCTCTTGCGGTATTCCCAGAAACACCCAGGGGAAAAAACATTCGCCTGGAAGCAAGAGGCCTCCTTTGCTTAAAAGTGTCCCATGGACAATATCCGGATACCAGGAGAAAACAAGAAAAGATGGACCTACTATTTACAGACCAAGACAATAAACAAGGCTGTGTGGAAAGACGAGGCCTCACTGGATTGTACATAACAGCAGGTGTTTAAACTTCAGATGGAGTATACTTACTGTATACAATGTGGGGAGGCTCCGCTAGTTCAAACAGAATGTGTAAACACTCTAATGGGGGCAAAGACCCAGAGACACTGACCCCAGTCCAAAAATTATATAATATTTACAAGAGGGACAATAGGCCCCCAAGAAACTGCGAAAAACAGTTGTGTAAATCGTACTTTTAATCCCTGAAAAGGAAACAAGATTCTGGTTTTAACAAAAAACACAAATGAAATTAACATAATTTACATACAGTCGGTAACATGAACATGTAAAGTGACTAAGTGGGAGGCTGACCCTAGGTCAGTTCAGGATATATCGCTAACTCATATTCCGAACCTCCAGGTCACAAGAAAACTACTGGTCCAAATATTCAATCAGAGCAAATTCTACAAATCAATCATGTGATTTATGATAAGAGCTATAAACTGAACCCAAAGGGCCAAACAAGGACAAAGAGTATCGACAACTTCACTAATTGAATACACGGAGTAAATCACATGGTGTAAGGTTAAATTCTTGCCCTGAAGACATGCCGGTAACCTGTCATACTTACACTCTTTCATCATGCCAATGTCCACACAGCGCTTGAGTCGGCATGCCTGGCAGTGGCGCCTGTTGTCCTTGGTGATGGTGCAACTGCCGTTAAAAGGACATGTGAAGGTGGCCTTGCGCTTCATACTGCGCCTGAAAAAATCGTGGACAGTTTGTTAAAAGATACAGAAACGCACGAAAGAGATTTGTACATATAAATAATAACGTGGCAACTTTGACACTGTTTTGCACAAACATGATAATCACAGTAGAACTGAATAAATATTTTTAAGCCTGGAAGTGAGTGGAGCAGCGAACATATGGATGAGCGCCAAGAAATCTAGCGGTGAATAATGAATCTTGCCAAACAGTGATGCAAAGCACAATGATTTAGTCAGTGATGGACATGTATGTTTGAACATTTATAGACAGATGTGAGCAAGCAAACACACACACACGCTTGGTGAGAGTTCAAATAAGGGCCAGCTGAGAAACGAGGAAGGAGATTATTAAACATCCGTCTTTTTTATCCTCTCACTTAAAAATCAACTCTACTGAGCAGAAACAAACGGATGAATACATCAGACGCACACAAGCCGGCAGCATCACAACTTGCTCCAGTTTTGTTCTTTGGTTTAAATTGGAAACGTGTGTTTCTCAATGAGCAGGTAGAGGCCAAGGCATTAACTTCATGGCTGAGCTTGTTTGTATTCTCTACCTGGAGCGTCAGTGTGGACAGCAATGTTGCCAGGTTGTGTGTGTGTGTGTAAAATCTTACGTAACCGTGGGTGGCAATCACATTTAATGTGTGTGTGTGAGTGTGTGGGTGGCCATTATATATGCAAGTTCCCATCAGTGTTCGTATCCTAACGTTTACATGTGTCAATGAGTTTTTTTTCATTTGGGTTGTATGAGCTATTGTGCTTAACACAGTCTACTTAATGTGTGCATACATATATCTGTGTGTGTTAGATTTGTTTATATGTGTTTGCTTTCCACTGCATCTGTGACCTCACATTTCTGTACCTGAAAAAACCCTTGCAGCCCTCACAGGTCATGGCGTTAAAGTGGAATCCGGTGGCTTTGTCGCCGCACACGCCGCAGATACGTGGCATATTCCTGTCAAACTCATCAGAGGCCAGAGAGGATGTACTCACAACCGTGGGCTCCATCACTGAACAGACAAGAAAGAGAGAGGGAGGAAAAATATTATTAAATCAGCTCCAGGCTATAGAAACTTTTCAGTTACTTTGCCACCAATAATCATGAAAAAAAAAAAGAAAACATAAATGCCACCCTCTAGCATCTGAAGTAAGTTTTAGAAAATGTTCTTGAGTTATATCTGTTCAATGCTGCACTTCACAAGATATCATGAGGTTTTTAACATATAACGTATTTAATTTAATTATGATTCTCTATGTAAAAAACCTGCACAGAAGTGAGACACATATCTTTTTATTTGTCTTCATGCCAACCAAACACTGCCCCTTCCTGCAGAACAGATTCCGTCCCGGTCTACCCTTTGGAGGTGAACTTTACTCCAGTGTTTTTGTCCAGGAGCAAGGAATCAGAGTCTTATGAATCGAGTGGAAAAACCCTTGTTCCACTCCAAAATGCTGGATCTGGGTTACAATTGATTACATAGCGCTCCGAGTATCTATTTCACTTAACAGCCTCATGAGAGGGAGGGAAAAAAAGGCATGTCACCGCACGGCTAGCATCCTCATAAACAAACAATCACTGTCCTTTTCACAAAGCTCCTTTCTTATTCCTGTCTTTGCTTCTTCTGTACAGTCAAAGCAAAGCAAATGATGGAGGCAGGCAGAGAAAGGGGAAGCAAGGACGACTAAACCGATAAAAACCCCAACAAACTCACAAATCAACAGCCAATACGGTGAGGGCCCATGCACCTGAATAATTTAAAAGAATTTGACAGAGCTTTCTATAATTCATGTGTAATTAATGAAACTGTTCTACCTAAAAATCTTGTACACACTCTTGTAAATTCAACCGAATAGATTCTTTCTCTTGTTGTTGCTGTTTTTCCACAGCTGTGAACATTCTGAGCAGTATGCCTTGAACACAAATTCTGTTCCTGGCCAATTCTATTAACGGGATACAGTATGTAGTCCTTACTAAAACAAAAAGGTCAAAAGAAGAAAGGAAACAAGAGGCTCCAGTCATTGCCTCAGCGCTGCAGGCATCATGGACAGCGGTGGCTCAAGCATCTGCAGCATGTGGACGTCTTGTATCGCAGCACCACATGCTTCAATGCAGAACATCTGATACAACCACCACTGGTACGCTTAAAAAGTATGTATGCACGCAAATGGAAGTAGCAACAACTGTCAGCAAATACATATGAAGAGAACTGAGCACATGGGTCCAACAGACCTCTGATAAACAACAGAACACGAGACTCAAAGGTTGATGGGAAAACATTTGAGATTAGTTTGCTTTGCCTTTGGGTTCCTGAAACAGTGAGTTCTAGCAAGTTGATGTAAAGCAAAGCAGGAGTTAATTTGTCACAATATATTGGAAATAAACAGATGTAGTTGGTTGAAACGACATTGTTAAGTGTTTGCACCGCTTTGCATGCCACAATAAATACAGGAGATGCACTTCAAACTGAAATAGCACTCAGTAGAGCACATACCTCTGCCAAGTCTGTGCAATAGTCCCCTTAAATTCATTAAAGCAGCATCAAATTTCACAGAGAGATATCAGTCCTCCAAATGTGCCTGATTTAAAAAAAAAAACAAGATTCATGAGTCATTTTGAAAAATGTTGAAAAACGTCCTATCTCACAATGTTAGAGAGAGAGAGTTGAAAAAACATCCTTGGATCCGTCCAGTAGTTTTTGTGTAATCATTATCACAAACACACATGCAAGCCAACCCCCCAAAATTGGAAACTTTCTTCAGAGAAAGAAATATGGAGCGCAAGGGTAAGAGTCTGAGATGTAGCAGAATGCATGTGTGAGAAGTATGTTGTAAGTGCAAAACCAAACCAAAAGATGACACAAACAAATAACACAACCATAAGATAACGTAAACAGGACACGATGCTGGGCAGGTGGGTTTAAATAATCTTGCGGGACTTTGGCAAAGTGTTCATACAATCGTTCCTCCTCAGCTCCAGCCAATAGAAACCCTGCAACAAAACAACATACAGCGGAACAGCGACGAGGGCCTGAGGCCTCCACACATACATTTTAACTGGACTTGACAGAACATTTATAGCTGCTGCTGCTCTGCACAGAGAATGTGCTAAACTTTGTACAAGTCATGTTCTGTTTCAATGTACAAACTGCCTCTAGTGACAGAATCGGTGATGGTGTGTGCTGAACACATCCATTCCCCCCCCCCAACCGCCTCAGTGTACGAGCGCAGAGGTAAAGTACACATGTTGAATCAAAGGTCTTTAAAAATTAAATACTAGTCGATAATTGCTTTAAACTAATTTCTTGTCCCTGTGACAGTGTTAAAATAGAGTTTATCCAAAGACACACCAAGATAAGGCCTGAAAGGCAATTTATTATATGATAACAAACTTGCCGTGTAGGTGATGTAATATGAATTGGCACAGGATTTAGATTTCAAACACTCACACTCCGCCCGGAGCTTTATAAAGCTTGATTTATTGCACTGAAATGAACAGAGTTGAATTGAAAATTTCTAAAGCAAACAAAAGAATCCCATGAAGTAGTATTGTAATGTTATCTTCTGTGATTGGGGTGTTTACCAAAGTACCTCAGTTGCAACTTCTTGAGTATCACGGTCCTTCAATAAACCTGCTTTTGTGGGAAAAACAACTCCCTTGTTTTGTTTCAACATGTGCTCCTAACCTTATCTGTCATCTTTGTTTTATTTTGGTGGTTTAGTGGTGAGCGTGGTTGTAAGGGGCTGGCGCACCAACACGGAAATCATGGATCCGGTAAAGTGCATATCCTGAGGAACATAAAAAAGTCTGGTGGTGGGTGCCATTCTCATGTACAACATTAAAACAAGGAGTACTTCATAGCTGCTGGACATTTTGAGTGGTGCCAGATTACCAACCAATGGAGAGCTGTTATCCTACCTAAGCACTTAAAAGTAAAAGTATTTGGGAATTTAAACATTAAATCCTTTAGGCAGGACTAACACATTAGCCACAAAATACCTAATGCTACCATGTAATGAAATGTTACACAATATAATTAGGGACCGCTCTTTAGAAAGCATAACATCTGTTCTCCAATGTGCAGGCGGACTAATCCCAGCAGGCATCCACACTCATCACTCACCGTGGAAAAACACCCAATCACCTTACTATATCATCAACTGATCAGTGAGGTCGGTCGTCTGTGATTGCATTCAGCCTTGACAGGCCATTACAGTAAATGCAGTCGTATTGAGAGAGCTCTAAATAATGCATCAGGTTATTAGACCAGATCTGTGCTCATTCCGGACCTCGGCACGCAAAGCCAGGGAGATGGTTTTGAGCTTCGACTGAACGTCTCGCTCCTGGACGCTGTACACAAACTGTGTACAGCGTTCGAAAGCATCAATCAAATCTGGCATTGTTGAATTAATGCAGATCAGAATATTACTCATCTTAGTGTGTTACACTGGCAGAAAGCCTAAGGATAAAGCAGTAACTCCAATTTCTGATTCGCTTACCAGGGACAGGCAGAGTATTTTTTTACCTGACAGCCAGATAGTAGAAGCTGCAATTTATCATTTCAAACCCCCTTATTAGATTAGATTAGATTCAACTTTATTGTCATTGCACATGTCACAAGTACAAAGCAACGAAATGCAGTTTGCATCTAACCAGAAGTGCTTGAACAGTGAATAAATATATGGTACATGGTTATAAGAAGCATCTACAACAATATGCTTGTATATTGTAACTAGACTCGAATCAATCACTGCCATGTGTTTTGACTGAGCCATGGCATCAGGAGTGACGTTATTGACTGCCTTATACTGTATTTGCTTAATAACTTGGATTTTAACAACTTCTGGAGCAACGACTGTCAAACTCCAACATGTTTGAACTAAAACCCTCAGATGGTAAACAGGATTTGCCGTTCGCTGCAAACAGAAGCAGATTATTTTTTAATACAAACATGATGTTAAGAAGACACTGAGCTCCCAGAGAAACAGCAAGAAATTAGCTCACTGGCTGTTTCTGTTCCAAACTAAAGCACAAATATTAGCAGGTATAGCAATCAAATTATTGTTTGGATTATCTGAATTATGTTGACGACAAAAGACAGATGGCTGAGGAACTATTTCACAGGATGGTGGGTTTGGTCCACTGGAGAAGAAAGAACCATAACATATAACTGTTAATGAGTAAGTTCATAAGATAAGGCACTAAAAATGCATCCTCTTTTAAATCATAGAATTAAATGGCCGCTTTAAAAATAGTTTTTAATAAATTGGTATTGACTCTTATTTCATGACTTTTTTTCTATTAAGATCCCTGATCCTGAGTTGATACTTTCTAATGGCATAGGACCTACTACTTTATACCTTTTAAAAAAAGGTATAAATGTAAACCTTAGAATGGGAATTTCTTATAGGGTTACTGTTTGAACTTCACGGCTCAACGATACTAAAATCATAAATAGTGAGATAACGAGAAGTGGGTCTTACAACTAAATAAAGCACAATTTAGTCATAATTATTTAAATGTGATCAAAAACTAAAAAAGGAAACAATTTCCAGATCATTCAGAGCTGAATGTTGCTAGGCAAGATGTGAAGATGTGCATCAAAATGGATGTTCAGTCAGTGAATGACTGAAGGGTTGTATGTACAATAAAGCAGAGTTACTGGGGGTATTTAAAGTAGTTCATCTCGACCACATGACTCGTTTAAGTAGGAATAAGCTTCCAGCTTAAGGAGACAAACTTCTTGAACATGAAAACTCTCTACAAGATCATTAGGACTGCATGGTCAGGTTTGGATTATGTAAAAAGTTTTGAAACTCTTGACCTCAGACTTGCAAAATCAATATTTTCTTTTAAATTGCTTCTGAAAATGTTTTTTTACTGTAAGCCTTTAGAATAACCTTTTTTTAAATAAGAAAATGTGTGTGTTTACTTGTGTGTGGGTTGGTTTATGCATGAAATTCATTTTTAACATGTTTCTCTACATCTTTCCACCTTGATTATCAGTTTGTGATCTCAGTTTGTGCCATGTAACTTTACTATAATAAATAAAATAGACTACATTAGTGTTATCATTGCTAATGTAACCATTTTGCAGAAGCACATACACTCTGGCTTCTGTTATCTTCTCACCACTTTGCTATTGAGAATGTCATACATCTGCTTACACCTCACTACACAACAAGCTCGAATAAATCTTCATCCATTGCTCCGTGAATGGCCGCTGTTTATAGTCACAGAGAGAGAGAGGAAATGCAGCCAACAGGAGAGCGAGCGAAGGATGCAGGAGAGACAGCAGCCAGGGAGGAGTGGGGAGGAGGGAACGCTGGCTGGAGAGATGGAGTAAAACCGATAGGAATATATACATAGATAGAGCAGGTAGGGGAGGGGTGACCTCTTTCACAGTGACTTCCTTTGTCAAAAAGATACTACAGAAAAATTGTGTGAGGAGAGGTTGCACGCCCAAGTGAGGCCGTCCACACAAATAGTCTGTTTTTGTTATTTTAAAAGCATGGCTAAAAATATGCAACTTCAATACATGTCTCATCTCTGACAGGCCCTCATTCTGAAAAGCATCAGGGGAAAAAGCAATTAGCTCTTCATGTTAGAATAGTTGTGATTTATTTCTGGCGGTGCTGCTTCACTCCCACTTTTAAATCAAGGAGACAATTTTGGCACGATGTGTTGTTTGTGACCACGTTTCATTGTCACAGTGAAAACCTCGTTGGCTGCCTGGCTAAACTGTGCATTAGAAAAGCTGATATTTGTACATTTAATCTTAACATAAGTTTTTATTTATCAGAAACCTCCGGGTTCAAGGCTCCTGTGTGCCACTTCCAACATGGGGGAGGCACACATGGGTGGGCCACGAGACAACACTGCACCCTCCTGCTCACCCAATAAATAAGTCCGGGACAGTTATTCATTATAATAGTTTTTCTTCAACTGTTAGTCTAATGATCCATTCAGCATTAAAGTTTTGGTAGTAGGGAAAACACCCAACACGATTTCAAAAAGCACAAGATGACATCTTGAAATGTCTTGTATTGTTCAACCTTGTTTAAAAATAAAATAAGATATTCAATTACAGTAACATGAAACAGAAAAACTGCTAGAAAAATGCTTTTACTAGAAGGGTTTCGCAATTTTGACTCAACTATTGATTCTGACTAATTTTTTTATTGAATCATTACTTATTCAGCTAATCATTTCAACCCCAACAAAAGTGACAATTCTTTACTGATTGAAAATAAGAATTGATCACGTAGTGTATAATAATCACTTTCTGAATCAGTCAGTTACACAAGAAATAACCATTGGACGATAAAGAGATAAAAAGAGAAGCAGATGAGACGACTGGAGTTTGGCAATGCGAGACACACGGCAGCGGTGGTTGATGAGCAAGAGATGAGGCCTGCTGTAATTATGTGCACCACCACAAACTGACTGCAGCTTGTCATTTTAACTGGGTGGTGAAAGCTGCAAAATAAAGACATTACCCAAATGTCGGTGGCGGAGTTTGGCGAAGAGGTTAGGGAGTTTCCCCTTCTTTTACCTCAACACACGAGCTGAGAAAGAACATATGCTACTTAGCATGCAGCGGAGCAGTGACTCATCTTTTCCTCTTTGATTTATTCACATCATGACACGCACGTGTCTCATAATCTCAGGACTGACGTTATAGTTGGTCCCAGATTGGATTTAAAGACGTGAAATTGTTCGCAAAAGTGTCAAAGCTTAAGAGTTGATAGTTCATCGATTCTGATGATAAATGGTCTGGTGCTGCTGTTGGTGGTCTGGACTGAATTAAAAATCAACATGTCTGAAAAACCACTTCTCTTGTCGTACGACACAATATTTTTAAAAATCTGAATTTAACTTTCACTACATAAAACTGGTGATGTTCCAATACCATACCTCCCGTTTTGATACCTGAAAGATTCAAAATCAGTGCATCTAAAAAAATTTATCATTTAATGTTTCATTGTATGCTACTAAGCCTGAAGTGGGTTTGCTATAATTGTTGTATGGCCTGAGTCAAGTTAAACCCTGTGAAAAACAAATACATATAGAGAATGAATGTCTAATAGAATTTGTTTTATTATCTAAAAAAGCTTTTAAAAACAGTACTTGCCATTGGCAGTACAGCAGAACTGCTGCTGTGGAGCAGCAAAGTGATTTATGGGAAAATAAAATTTGCAGTTTTTCTGGGTGAAACTAATATACATTAAAGACATGGAATTGGATAAGTGCATATTCCCATACTCACCGTTGCCCTACCCAGCATTTTCTGCAGTATTGGAGGCATTTCCAATGCTGGTATCAATATCAGGGCATGTCTAATAAAATGTCCAGTGATTAAATATTTGTTAGTGAACACGTGGCAGGGTTTTACCTGAACAAAGTTGAATGAACATCCCACCAAAGTTCGTATGACATATTGAGAATATAACCCTAACCTGTATCGCATTTTATAGTGTAAACCGCACCATCCGAATCCCAGTATCCCAAATGGATGCCTCTAACTGGCACCCTGTAATTAGCTGTTATTAGACATCAATCAAATGAAGTCTTGACTACAGATGGTGTGAACCTGACAAACTGAGTTAAGTGCTAATGTGAGAAATAGTAACACTTCATGTCGAGTATGTTACATGAAGAAATCTGTGTTTCTGCAGCATTGACTGTATCAACAGGTAGCTTGAGCTTCTGTAAGATATTCATAAAGACGGACCATGGCAGGAGTCCAGTGCCACTCATAAGGTCACTTATACCCCTCTGTTCTCCTCGCATTTTCATTTCCAGCTGTTCTTATCAAACAGGAAAGTGGCCATTGTTCTTTTTTTTTGCCGTCAGGTGCCCTATTACTTCTAAAGGAGACATAAATGAGACCTCAGGCGTGAAAAGATTTGGAGAGCGGCCCAGATGTTAGATTAACTTTCATCAAAGTCAATATCAAGCGATTATAAAACCCACCCTCCACCGAGGCCCACCATCCAACAAACCTAATTAAGTGGTGCCATTAGTGCTCGGGCGTTGAAATGAAATGTGACTGAGGACAGGGCAAGATAAAACAAAGTGGGTAAAGAGGTGGATCTAGACGGCGCTTCAAGGAGGGATCATTTTAACTGCACACAGACATGCAGAAGAGAGAGGGGAAAGCGGGAAATAAAAAACCTCTGGCATCACGTCCCAAGAATGTCAGCAATGGGCTTACAGACCACATCCCAACACATAAGAGTCAGAGTCTGAATCACATCCAGACCTATAACAGCACTGGAAGAAAGAGAGGGATCGCTGTGGAACGCCTGAGTGAGAGAAGGAGGCCCTCTCTGACAGTCCAATGAGCACCCTCCATCAATATCACATGACGCAATCCCACAAATGGTTCTGAAATTGTTCCATGCTGCCAAGGTTTCTCTTAAAGGAAAAAAAGTGAGAGTGGGAGAAAGACTTAAAGGAGGAGAGAGAGCGAGCGAGCGAGAGAGAGAGAGAGAGAGAGAGAGAGAGAGAGAGAGAGAGAGGAAAAGACAGGGAGACGTTTTGGAGAGAGTTGGGAGGGAAATGGGGAGAAAACATAAGACGATGTGTTTTACTGCATACCTCGGCCCGGGTCACTACGAGTACAGAAGAGACATAAAACAAATCAGATCTGGAATGACCCGGGCTGCACAGAGAACTGGGCTACAATAGAAATACATGATTCACACATAAAAGCACATCTCAACCCACAACATAGGCAGAGTTGAGGGTAAAGAGGAAACATTGTAAAAGTTGGAGGGAGGTGCAGTTGGAAAAAAAAAAGGACGATTAAAGCAAACATGATCTGAGATTAGTGAGAGGAGAAGTTTAATTTAAATCTGCTTTGTGTTGAGCACAAAACAGACAATACATGCGGAAAACAGATAGAGAGGATGGAACAATGGACAAAAAGAGACAATGTGGACCCAACAACAACAAAGACAACAAACTGAGTCTGTAATGCAGCTAAACAACTGGCTGAGCAGACTAGTCCAGTCCTGTCCCTTCGCTTCCCTCCCTCTCATTCACCCTCCCGCAGCCTCCACGGGTCTATTGCATGCTCTTTCCCTATGATCACAGGGAGCATATTACAGCAGCAGTAATAGCACATGACAAGGTGACCTGTGCCCCACACAGGATGGGCTAAACTGGGGTGGGAGGGGGTCCCATGTCCCGTGTCCAACCCTATGGTCTCTGCCCTGCTCTCCCCCCCTGCCCAGGCCCCAGCGCTGGCCTGCAAGGGGAGCGAGAGAGGCAGTGACGGCAACCTGCCCCCTTATGCTGGGCCCCTTGCTGGACTCTGGAGAGGGGAAAGAGACGAAGCAGGGAGAGGCCCACTCAAACACACACTCACCAAAAGTCCTGTTGATATCTATGCTGAATTTGACAGAGAAAGTACATTCTCAAGCAACACGGAGCCAAATGTTGACAGTTCCCGGACACACGACAGACATGTGGACGAGGTGGATGCAAATGCACCCAAAGGTCTATGTTATATAATCACTAATAAATGCTAGATTCATTTCAGGAAATACAAGAAATATGCACTCGTCCTTTCAATTTCACACAATCAATTCATACACAGATATCAATACTGCATAAAAGAAACAAAACAAAAACACCCACTGTCCTGGATATCGAAGAGTGACATAAATGTTGCTTTCCAAGAGGATTTTTTCTACATTAGTCGCGCTCCATATACAAACAAACATTACCTGTGTATGTGTTTGGCATCGATACCATCAACCACAGGAGGTAATTGAGGACCCAAAAACATTAGGGGGAACTTAACACTTCATTAGTCTCAACGGCAGCTGAACATATGTGGCAAACAGCACACATGCACAAACGCACATACAAATGGATCTTTGCAGTAATGTACAGCAGCCTCTTTCTTTCTATAGGGTTACATGTGAGAGGAAGCAACCAATTACTGCAGTCACGAAAAAGGGGTAAGGGGCCGGGTACTTCACTGTATAGGAGACGTAATGGACTGTACCATCACCACAGCACACAGCTCCGTAAACAACCTGTCATGGTTAGAGTCAATAAAGACAAACCAAGCTCATTTTGTATAGTTTCCCCATCGCAGGTTTAACTGGACAATTTTTCAAACACATACTTTGCCTTCATGTGTACAAATAATACATGTTTATATATTTATACCACTTGCTGTCAACTGTATCTGGTTCCTTCAGATTATTTAAGCGATAAGCAGCAGAGAGAAGAGCTGGAGCCTGTTTACATTTCAGCCATGAAAGAGACAGGGCCCTTGTAGTAATTAATGATGTCATTATCAGCCCATGGCTATGGTCTACGTGACTGTGAAGTGAGTGGTTAAGGTGTATAAATAATTATACTTTTAACTATCTCTACCATCACATAATCTAGTATATTTATATAGAAAAATATAATTTATTTGACAAACATATTTAGCTGCATATATGTATATACCAATATACAACTAATTCTACCAGCTGTAAAACTCTGTGAGTAAGTGAAAGTGAATTCATACATGCTCAGATAACTGTTATTGTATGTTACATGACAAGGGAGCTGATATCACTGTGTTACAGTCTGTTGTAAAAAAAAAAAGGTGATGAAGCTGGTTGTAGTAATACTTATGATTTAGGGGGGATTTCTTTAAAGCTATATGATACTTGATTGAGTGGGGCAAAAAACACCCTATATACATACATCAATTGCTTTAAATATATATACACATTTTTCGGTACTGCAAATTCCATTGCACAGCACATAACGTCCGACCTGAGTCCTTGAGCTTCAGGTGCTTGAGATCAAATCAACAAAACTTTTTTAATTTATTGACATGCGTGTGGCAGAAACCCATAAGTGCACCAGTTAATCACTGAAGTGACATTACAGGCTTTTTTAATGGAATATTTACAGTTGCTCGTACATTTACTCCTCGGGTTTCTTTTCTCATGTGTGAAGGCATTGACCTGAGTGACACACGTGAATTCAGCCTTTAGAGAAATCCTGTGCGTGATAATGTTTCACCTGAAAACAACAGGTTGTGACTCCATAACACTGGTTATCTTTGCATATGAGAGCAATATATGAACACACAAAGTGCATCTTGGCAGGTATAAAAACAAGAAAACCCTCTCACCTGCGGTTTTTGCATGCCCTTGTACAATAGGTGAGACTTGAAAACCTCTCTTCAGTTTATCCCAAGTTGTTGATCCTGTTCAATACAACAGAGAGAAAGAGCATGTCGCAAGTCAGTGCGTGAGTGAGTGAGTGGGCCTTTACCCTAGTACCTGACCTGCTGCAGCTCTGTTTATGTAACTCTGAACTATTTTCACAGCAACATACACACTGATCACCACACAGCAGCCAGACAAGTACGTGTATATGTTATTTTCTAAACCTCTCTCTTTACAACAGCAACTACAATAACTCCAGTGTCGACTTTAACATTTGTCCCGTGCATGCGAGCTCCATACCTCAGCTCAACTTTTCCCCGAGTTGCATGTAATCCTCTTTAGTCGTCGTCCGCCGTCGTCTTCATTCTCTCGCAAAGTGTGTCCCCTCCATGTTGTTGTCTGGGCCAGCTCTGGGACCTCAGCTTTTTTTTTCTTGTGGGGACAGTGAGAGGACGCTGTTGTTCCCCGAAAAAAAACTAAAGAAATGTGACTTGTGGCGGAGAAAGCGTCAGAATCGTCCGCCCTTTTCAGACGCTGGCTCCCGCAGCAGCAGCAGCAGCGCTGGTAGTAGCTAACGTTAGCGTGGCTGCTTTAACCCTAAAACGCGGCCCCAAGTTCAGGCAGCTTTACTCACCGCCCTGCGGAACCGCGGGCAACGCAGGTCCGACCGAGACGCTGTGGCACGCGGCCGTCTGTCAGCGGCGGGCGAACGCCAACATGGAGAAAAACTCTATCACACCTACGGTAGTCCGACGAGAAATATCCCTCCTTCTTCAGGACCTAAATAGATGGCCATTACTTTTCTTTGTTATGCACCGCCCCTTTCTGAGGACCTCTACGGGAAAGAGGGATTTCCCCCCCAGCCCCTCCGCTGGCCAATCGCCGGTGAGCTCGGCGTGTCCCCCGCGTCGCGATTGGTGACGGTCCCGCCCAGCGCGGCTCTGATTGGCCGGCCGCGGTGCTCGTAAGGCACGGCGCCGCCCCTCTCGTACAGGGGTGTGTCGTGACGTCAGAGGTAACGAAGAGGTAAACAACTTTGACCGCGTGAGGTTTAAAGCAACACCCGTTTATCCCCCGGATCCCCGAGGCAACGGCAGCCGCAGGGGGGGGGTCACCCTACGAACATCACGCGCACGATGTGGCGGCTCAGCGCGGGGCAGACTGTGCCAGTGACCCGCTGTTCTCTCACGCACCGGAGGGTCTTTGTTCCGCAGAGACAGGGAGCTGAATTTAAAAAACACGAATAAATCACATCAGCATCGATAGCGCGCTGTTGCAGCAGCAGTGGGAGCTGCGCGGTGGCCTAGATTGTTAATTTAATGCATTTGGCTCCATTATTCCTTTGACGCTCCGCTGATGTGTGCAGTGAGGCGGGTGTATCGGAGGGGTGTGTCCGCTCTGCAGTACAGTGGTAGGCTGGGAGGCGATGCCGCTGCATGGCGATGTTGCCATACATTTGCACTGCATGATGAGACATGGCGTGCGTGAGTGTGTGTGCTATAAATAGGCGATTAAACAATTCCACCACTACACTATAATGCTGACATGACGCACCCCCCTCATGGAGGAAAACATGCATGTATCTTTTGCATCCACTCATTTATTCAAGTGCTGTTTCCAGTTGTACCTGTGTTCTTACAGGAGCTCTGCCATGTGGTGGGAACGGTGATGTGAGCGGTGCTGGGGCCAGCGGAGGGGAGAAGGGGGGTGAAGGTCAGGGGTGTGTCTATAATGTAAACACAGTACAGGCTACAGATATGAAGGGGAGAGGGGAAAGAGAGAGCAGGGCCCCATCCGGCCCCATGTATCCTCTTCCAACTAAACGTTCTCCAGGCCTGCTGCAGGCTGAAAACATGAGGTAAAACTGAGCACATTGTAAAGAGAAAACATGCTCTGTGAAGTATTTCGAATTTGTTGTAATATAACATAAACTAGAGCTCTAGCAATACACATTGATTCCTCGTGTTTACCTGGCCTATTCACATGTTTTTAAATAGCTTTTATAAATGCATTTAACAGTTTTACTTTTCCAGCCTACTTGAAATTATATTATAGAACAAAAATTACTTTATTCTCATTTTATTTTGTATACCTTACCTGCCTTTATACTTCAGTCGATATAAACAGTCTCTCTCTCTCTATGCATATCCATGTGTCCTTGTGCAACCATACTGTGCAACTGCACTTTGCACAAGTACAATTCCCTACAAATAATATTTCCGTTTATAGTGGGTGTATATTGTGAACATATTCCCTGTATTTTTATTTGATTAGATTTCTATTTTTATTTTATTTCATTCTCCTGCTTCCTCATTTTGAGTATCTGCTGCTGTACAAGTCAATTCCCCCATTTTATCTTAAAAAAAACATTTAAAACTCAAAACAGCAGATGCATTAGTCAGTCTTAAAACAGGTTATAACAATAAGCAAAAACACAGCTTGAATCCATTATTTATTGTGCCGACTGCTCTCACAACTGCTCTCTGCTTGTGCTGTCTTGATATGATCTTTAAGAAATTTAAAGCTCAAAACAGTGATGCATCCAAGTTCTAATGAGTCAATATCAAATACAGTTTTTAACAATAAGAAGAAAGACACAGGCTAAAACCATAGTTTACGTCTGATGCCCTCACAGCTTACTATCAACTTCAGTTCACTTCGTTTCTCTTGAAATGTGTAACAGTAACTTTGCATTCTCAGTTATTTAACCCCTGCTTCGTTCTTGCAGTCATTACAGTGCTGGAGCTACTTTAAGTTCTACACAGCTTCTGCTTTTACAATCCCTGCCAGCGCTGCCTTCTAATACCTCCAAAACTTTGCACAACATACATTCCCCAAATATTCCAGCTCATTCCACATTAGACAGTTGTACAATTTGTACCCACGTTGTAGCTAAACATAACAAACCGCTCAACAATTAAGGTCACACTATAAAACCCCAGCATGCATGTGCAAACTTCTCTGTCTGCTAAAAACCTGTTTATGTCCTGGTTTGAATACTTTCTCAACCTCAGAATTAGCATATCCACAGCCCTTAAGCACCTTAGACATGTGTCATAATCTTATTAACTGTTGATTCATGTAAAGTAACTGGTAGTAAAGTGTGTGGGTGTTAGGTGCATGCTCATGGAGAGTTGATCCTTGTCCTGTGGCTTGGGCGCTCTCCAAGTCTGGCACTTGCGCTGGATCAAGCTGTTCTGCTAACAGGGATTTATTTGGCTCCACAACACCCATGTCAGACATGTATCCGGGCCCAGCCATTTTGTGTCCTTAGATGCTCCGGCCCTTCACAGTGAGCTGGCTTGCTGTTTGGAAACAAGGAGAGTGGAAATACTTGACCCACTAAAACTGGACAAATTAGTATTCATGGCACTGGTGCAGAAATATAAATAACTTGAATAACAGATCTCATACTGACACATGCCTTAAGGACAGTCTGATTTGACTTAAGGCTATTTTTTCCCTGTATTGTGCAAAGGGACAATACAGGACAGGTGAACCTCACATATTAGCGTGCACATCCAAGCAGTAATGTGGATGCAGATTTAGAAGACATGCATTTAAAGTGGAACACTGGTTCGTTATCGTGCACTATGCCACAATAATCAAAATAGATAAATTATTGTAAATTGAAATATTATAGAAAAGAGTTTGCTGATGCAATGTTTTGCGAAGAGTGTCCAGTGCTACTGTGAGCAGAGCCCTCAGGTGCACTGATCTCTGACCAGACAATGAAAGCATGTGTGCTGATCAGCGGGCAGATGTCCTGATATATACACTCAAACCTCGCCTGCTCTACTTTTTAAAGTTTCACTGCAATACAACACGCATTCCTGTTGTTTTGAAGAAACCCAGGATATCCTGCTGAAGGGACGATGACTGGGCTGTTCCACTCACGTCTGTCATCATGAGCTCAGCCTTCAAGCTGCTGGTCAAAACCTACACAGACTCACTTCCTCCAGGCCAATCCAGATTCTCTGAAGATTGAATGGAGAAATTTGATCAGCTGTGGATGCCACCGTCTTAACCCAGCAAAACTGTTGATTACGGTGTTGATTTGAATTCCATCATGCTCAGGGACCATGTCCGAGCATGTGCAACTGAATCCTGTGCGTGCTGACAGGCAGTCTGCTGGTGGTGAAGACAGGCATTTGTGTCACTCTTTTTCTTAGCACTGCGGACAACCAGGCCCACGCCAATTCCCCCCTGCTCACACATAACAGTGGACCAGCACATTCTCTCTGTCATCAGTTTGAGAATGACAATACAACCATCACCGCAGACTCTGAATTTGCATGTATTTCTGACTTTCATTAGTAGCCTGAAACATTATCCACAGAAGAGAAATGTATCACTTTACTTTACTTACTTACTTACTTGTATAATTCAACATATACCAGTTATGGTTCAAAATAACAAGTGCTGGTGGAAATCATATCAAAATAATCAAATTACTCATAAACAGTATTTTAAGTAATACAACAAGCAACCTGATTTCACATTTCTCAAATACCTGCATACTGCATACAAGGTGGAGGTGAGGTGCTTACTATGGCGCCAGGACAACTAGCTAAATGAAATGATTGCAGATTTAAGGAAGCAGGTGATGAGAAGCGTCCTGAAGCTCATCAATATGCCTTAAGTGGAGCCTGTCAGCAGTTTCCAGTTCCTTTGGGTCAGCGATAGAGGGTAATGTTGACACAGAAATTCAGCACTGCTCCACAGATCCTCAGCACCATCCACATGTGCTGCACCGAGATTATCTGTAGCAGCTGCATCACCGTGTGGCGTTGCGCTGCACCACCCTGGACCGTAAAGCTGTGCAGCAGGTGATCCAAACAGCATAGTTCCTCAAAGGCAATAAACGGGATGTGTACCACAGGCGATGCTTGAGGCCCACAAAATCATACAGGACCACATCTGTCCTAACCTCAAACCATGCAGTCTTATACCCTCTAGAAAAACATGAACAGAGTATTGTTTTCAGAGGCCGGCAGGTTCAGGACAGTGTCGTCCTCAAAACCATTAACATCCAAATATCCCTCACTCACTCATATCCTTTGTTCACTGTTCTATCCTGCATGCTACCATTTTTAACCCCCCTTTCAATAATGATTAAAAACTTTTAAAATTGGGTTGCTTGTTAATTTATTGTAATTCTGTCGCTGGATTCTCCAGCAATTAAAAGTATCTTATTAACATAACACTGACTTTAACATAACTTTAAGCTTCATAAAAATGAAATATCCAAGTCAAGTTTAAGTACCTCAAAACCATTATTAAGTATTCCTGTAAATGTACTTAAGTTTTATCCTTGCTCTAAGGTCTAAGCAATTAAGAGTAATTTGATAAAATAATTGATTCTCTAATAAAGCATAAATAATTTGGTATACATGCAAAAAAAAAAATTTTTTTTAATAAATGCAAGTAGGTATAGGTATTAGGTATATTATAAGAGTCTGTTATAAGATTGAGCGGCACACATAAAAACACAACATATTTAGGTTTAAATACTTATAGTAGTGCTGTGCGATTTTTTACTCAAATAAACAGATGTCCCTTCTTGTCTTCAAAGTATTATGTTGCAGAAAAAGTGGAGCATTGTTGAAATTCCTTTGTCTTCTTTAAATATTTACTCTAGAGACCAGTGGTTATTTTTCTTTTTTATAATTCCTCAGCTCATAGCCAAGATGGAGGTGGACGCTGTTCCTGGACTCCTACTGTGTTTACACTCTGTGCAGCACAAAAATAACAAGACCTATTGAAACCAGATATC